TGTGCGTGCGGGCGTGTGTGTGAATGTGATTACTCCAGGACTCCTCGGGCTCCGGAGACGCCATTTTCCCCCTTGATATCTCTCTCCATAAATCGGTGGCGCGGCGGAGGCGGCCGCGTCGGGCGGGAAGCGCGGGGCCGGCCGGGGCGCCCGCCGCTCGCCGCCGCCTCCGCGCGCCCGGGGGCCCCGGCGCCCCCCGAGCGAGGGCGGCCCGCCCCGCGGCTCGCCGTTTGACAGATGCTCATCGCCATGGAGTTGCTGCAGCAGCACCTTTGGGGGCTCGGACGAGCGAGCGGAGCCGGGATCTGAGCGAGCGCCGGGGCCAGCGGAGCCGGAGCCGCCGGGACATGGGTGAGCACGCGCGGCGACCTTGGAGCGGGAGCCCCCGTGCCCAGCATCCTGCCGCGCCGCGGGCCCCCGCACGCTCGGGGCCGGGGGGCGGTGTGTGTGCCCGGCAAGCAAAAGTTCACGTCGCCTCGCCGGGGCTTTGACTTTGCACCGGGCAGGAAGGGGGAGATGGGGCCGAGGGACGGGATGCCGGTCCCCGCGAGGCTGCTCGGGGATGGGCACGATTCCGACCGGCCGGCGGGTGGGCAGCGGTGCTGGCTCTATTGGAGTGGCCCGTTGGTGGCGGCGGTGGTGGAAGCGTCGGGCTGGAAGGCTGGGAGCTCATTGAGTTTCGCCTAATCTGATCCCCCCCTACCCCCCCGCCTTTTGCACCCTCCCTCGGTTCTGCCGCCGGCTGCCGGGGCTGGCGGGTTTGGCGTTGGTGGAGTGGACTCGGGAGGGGGAGGGGGTAGGGAAAGGGGTGGGAAGGCGGCAGGATATTTTTTTTTTCTCCCTTTGTAACTTGCAGGTTAAGTGGAGCTAGAGAGCTACATTGTAACCTAGTTGGATTTTTTGGGGGGGAAATGTATCAGAATCTAACGTGTCCTTAATAGAGAGAAGAACAGGCAAGAAGTGGTCCAGCCGGCGAAGGTTGGTGTGTGCTTGTGTTCTGGCTGTGTGTTAGTTTTTCTCTTAAAAATCTTAATCAATGGATTTGAGTCTTTTTCTTTTGCTCTCCGGTTTGAGGATTCTGAAAAGACAGGAATTCCCTTAAAAGCAGACGAATGCCCTTTTGAAAGCACGCATTGTGTGCGTTTCTAGAGGAGCCTTGAGCTTGGGAATTAACCACAGGCTTCCCCGTTCGGTGGTTTCCAGTGGGAAATCACTCCGGAAAGGGAGCCCTTCAGTATCGATTTATTGTTTTTGTCTCTCGTACCATTATCTCTTTGACCAAAATACTGTCTGAGAAGTTCCACAGAGACAAAGTCAGGTAAACTGGGCAGATCTTTAGCAAGATGGTGATAACGGTGATGCTGTTTTTGGTGTCTGTTTGTGATGGAAGCATTGTTGGGTAATTGCAATTTCTGATCGGTAGAGCATGCTGGTTCTAAAAAAATAAGTTACTGCCGAAATGCTGTCTTTCAGCCCCCCTCCCCTACACACTATCATCACCCCTCCTCTCCTGACCCACACTGCTTACTACAATTCCGAAATCGGATCCAACTGGAAATATTTTCATTGGAGATCAGAAAGTTGTGCAGTTAGAAGTAGGAGATGGGGCTAGAGGTAGTGAGTGTGTGGAGGGGGAGTGCTTATTGCCCCCCTCCCATGATGCATTTATTCTTTATGTGTGTGTGGAATACTCAGGGCGTGTATGTCTAAAAGACTGTTGAGGGAAGGATTTCCGATTCGTTTCTGTTTTAAATAAACTGTCCTGGTAATCTCATGGTTGAGGTCTAATACTAAAAGGGCAATTTGTGTGTCTTTATGCCTGCAGAAACTCTCCCTTGAAAGGCAGTTTATTCTGGAACTATAGAGCAGCTACTCTTCTATCCCAGCCCCCCTACTCCTACCCCATAACTATCCACATCTTCTAAAGTTTGCTTGGAGTCCATGGTCTCTAAGGAAATACTGATATTTCTTGTTTTTCTGACATTCCTTTCCCTTCTTTTCTTTTTCATTTCTTCACCCTTGTCCTGTTTTTCCTTGTTTCCTGTGGATTTGAACTGAAGTAGCTGTCACCCAAACTCTGGCAGTTCCGGCCCATTACCCTCCCGTAGTTTACCCAGGTACATCTCCCACTCCATCCAAACAGCTCCAGTTGCAGAGTTTGTTTGGTGTGCATTGGGGGGAGGGAAACAGAGAAGAGGGACTTGGAGAGGAAGAATGTTGTTCTGTGCAGGCCACATCTGCAACACTGGGACCAGACCTGGGCAGCCAGGAACAGTTTCCTTTACACACCCTAGTTAGATGTGGTCTGGCTGGGATAGGAAGGCGGGGCCAACTGGCTGGGGGCGTGTGAGGGAGGAGAAAGTTTGTAGCACTTTAAGATGTAGCCAGTTTACAATCCCAGGTCCCTCCCTCTCCTTCCTCTTGATTTCTGTGACTTACACCTTCCTTAAACTCCCGGAGTGAGAGAGGCATGATCCCTTTAGCTCTGACACAGGAAGATTCCCAGGTTTTAGAGCTAAAGCTGTAGGGGCTGTGTTTTCACTGTGAGCTTAATCTCCATGCCTGTTACCAGAAAAGGGTGTTAGGGCCATGTTTGAGGCAAACCAAAAAAGTGGGAGAAGTAAGCATGGTTGAACACAGAGCATTTACAAATTGCAGGGAATGTAGCCTCAGAAGATCCAGAGACCAGGTACCCAGTGTGCTACTAGGCATAGGATCCTCCTCCCCCATTAAGTCTTGGTCTTGGGAAGTTGAATCCTGTTAGAGCTGGGCTGTGGAAGCTATAGCCACTATAGTAACCTGAGCTGAGTTGGGGGAGGAGATGGTGAGCAAATGTAGTCCCTAGCCAGAGAAGGGAAACAGACTAGTCTCTCTCTTAGCAGGGAAAATAGATGCTTCTCTGGAATAAACAAACTGGAGGTGGGGGAAGGGATAGCTTGTAGTGAACATAAGGAGTGGCTGAAAGGCAGGGTTGTCAGTTAGGAAGGGGGCCACTTCTAGCCTGGGAGAAACTATCAACTGCCTTATATGTTCATGAATGGGCTAGGCCAGTGAAGGGTTGTAATCTGATCGTTTGCATGTTAACATCAGAATGTTACATAGGAAGGCTGTGCTGGGACTTCACTGGAGGAAAACCTGGATGTATCCCTGAGGGAATCTGGTACCTGGTACCATGAGTGCTTCTGGTCATGTACTTGTATTACTCATAAGGAGCTACTTTTCAAATCACCTGGCCTAAATGAAGCTTGGGGAGGGAAAAAAGCAGAGCTTGGGATCTTTGTAGAATTTAGTTGAAGATGAACAGTTGGGAGAGGCAGGAGGCAGCATTTTGTTGAAGAAGAAATAAATAGGTAGGCACTTCCCCCTGGATTCCCAATTCCTTTTCTGCTGTAACCTTAACTTTGAATTCCATTAGGGGCTGAATCGATACTTCTCTGGCACAGAAATGTGCATCTAGGAGAGGAGAGTTCTTGCAACCTGGTCATTATTTTTAGTTATACTTCAATCTTGACTCTGACACTTCTATATAATATGCAAAAGGAAGAAGATGAGAAATAGCCAGACTGATGGGACAGCCTTTCTGGGTTCCTGTGGAGACACTGAAACTTAGCTGGGCCTTGCCCTCCCAGAATGCCAGGCTTTCCCTTGGAGACTTCAAGTTTTAATTGAAACCAGAAAGCTATTGAAGGCAGACCCAGCCAATGAAATCCTGTTTTCTCTGATGCTCAGGGATGGGAAATAAATAATGTTTTTGCTGATGGCATTTCAAGTTGTTTCAGTTTTACTCCTTCCAGAAGAATGGGGTAAATTATTATGAAAACATTAGCCTTGTAAAGAGTTACACTGCCTTAAAAATGGAATGTTGTGACTGGGACTGTTCAGGGAGCCAGGGTATTGGAGAGTCATAGTGGGGTTGGAGGTGGGGTGGAAGAAGAAAGCCATATAAATTTTTCCTGAACGTCATTTTGTCTGTTCCTCAGGTTCCTCTGAAGAAGGAACAAAACAATTCAATCTCATTTCTGTTCTATGGTCTATTATGAAACTGGGTCAGCTACAACAAAATATCTGAGATAATCAACTCATAAAGGGAAAAGTTTAGTTTGGCTCACAGTTTGGGAAGTTCCAGTCTATGATTGGTTTGCCTTCTTGCTCTGGGCCTGTGGTGAGGCAGTGCACTGTGGTGGGAGCATGTGGTGGAGCAAAACCGCTCACCCAAGGGCCACAAAGCAAGAGAGAGAAAAAGAAGAAGGGACTGGGATCCCCAAATCCCCTTCAAGGGCATGCCTCCAATGACCCAAAGACCTCCCATGAGGCCCACATATTAAAAGTTCTACAACCTCCCAATAGCAGCACCATGAGAATCAATCTTCAATGCATGGGCCTCTGAGGGACAGTCAACATGAAGTGATAGTATTGGGTGAGTTTCTGCAAATGTCTTGGGTCAGAATGGGGTCAGGAGTGCTACCACCATACATATAGCCATGGGTTTCAGTTTCTTGTAGAGCTATTTCTAAAGTAACTCTTCAGCCCAAACACTTGTAAGTGGAGAACATAAAACCCCAAGGTGCCCACAGAGTGCACTTTCTGGATGCTGGAGGATGATGCCAACATACATTATTGCTTGACTCTGAGTTTTCATTTCATTTTCACTTAGCTTTCTACAGATTTTGATACCTGTTTAGAGACAACAGATTGGGTCTAAATAAAGTTTTGGGGGATGATGACCTTAGATTCATTTTGTCTAAATTATTGGGATTAAACAGTTCATATCTAGAAGTTTCAATGGATCATACTAGAACAGCTTTCCTTTTAGAGGAGTTAGAGTTTTACCCCATTAGAGGGTACTCTGTAAGTTCAAAGAAACATTTTTTTTTCTTTTAATGGTCTTTGTCTTAGAAAGTAGCAGCAGACTTCCTATTCTGTTCAGAGCAAATGATGCCAGCATCAAGTGTAGAATGTGAGCTGCCCTGATATCCACAGGATCCCCTGGGAGGAAGCAGCCATCCTTTCCCGAGAAGCCAGTGATGGATTATGATGTTTAGTCCCATGTAAAACAATCAGAGGCAAAGTCAATTGAGCTGACCCTCAGGTGGACAGAGGCTCTGCCTTTTCAAGAATGGGGGATGGGGAAGGGACGGATGGTGAGCCAGAACTTGGTTAGGCTGAAAAAATGTTTCTATGATCCATCTTATCTTTTGCCATCCCAAACACTGCCTTTCATATTCATAGAACTTTGTTCTTTTAAAAAATATTTTCATATCACATCTGCCCTCTTGATCTAGAGAAGGGAAGCCCAAGCATTGTATTCCCATCAGAAGACAAGGCATGGGATACATTGGTTGCCTGAAATGACACAAGTTGGTGGCTGACCTGGGGCCAGATGGCTATGTTAAAATGTGAACAGCCTCATATCTGAAGTGACAAGATCTGTCTTGGATCCTGTCCCTGCTACTTTCCAGTTCAATGGCCCCCAGCAAGTTCTTTAACATGTTTGAACCTCAGTAAGTTAATCTGTAAAACAGAGATAAAGTAACCTACCTTGCCTACTTCATAGGGTTGTAAAGATTAAATGGTAACAGCTAATTTCTGTCATTGAACTCTGGGAGGATGTTCATGCTGCCTCCTGGAAAAGGGTGCTTGCGGTTATTGTTGCCATAAGCCATAGATTAATAACACCTTGGCATGGCCGGAAATGCCACAAGGGCCCTTGTGTTCTAAGAGTTCAACTGATTTGACAGTATATATGTATATATGTATATACTGATGAATCAGGTTGGATCATTCTACTCATATCTATGGATTGCATTATTAGATGCCAACAATGTTAGGTCTATCTGAGATCAGAGTCTCATGGTATGTCCAGTTGAACTCAAGAAAATGCTGGTGCTCAGGATATGCTCTTTGAGTGGAGAACCAGGAGACTAAAAGGAAGAAATTTAGGTGCATAGAGGGGAAGCAGTGGGAGAGTGAGCCCTGGG